GAACCAGGCTCTGGTGCTAACATAGAAATTGGTACTCACCTGGAAGCTCTTAGACTCAGGATCCACGCAGCCCTGATGACCCAGCAGAAAAGTCCCGAGAGGAGCAATGTGGAGTTAACTGCTTTGCAAGGGGTTATGACCTAGCATGGAAATTAGCACTCATTTGCAGAAGGCTCTTCGATATTCCAGACAAGGGGAACGAGCTGGGGTCTGTGGCGGAGTTTTATCAAAGCTCATTTTCCTTTTCTCAATAATCCTTGTATGATTCCCCTACCCAGAGACCTCCAAATTTGCCTTTTCACAGGTATAATCGACTCTGCCCTGAATGCATGGGCATAGCCAGAGGGTAGGGGGGGGCAGCAGCTCACCAAAATCAACTAGATAAGTAAAAATACTTCACTGAAAGTAGCAATAATCAGAATGTTTGAAATTGAAAGGCTCACTACGGTCACTTGGAGGATGATTTCTCTGAGCACTTAGGGTCAGAAGAAAATAATTTAAGCAACTCTTGTTGAGAAATTTCATTCTGAATCTGCTAGACAGAGCTAGACAGAGGATGATGCCCCCCCCCCAAAAAAATCTTGGCTATGCCCATGCCTGAATGTGTAGACTTCCTTCATCAGGGCAAGTGGAGGATGCACACAGAACATATCTAGACCCAAAACTACATCAACTTTTTTGTGGTTCCTCCAGCTAGGAATGTACGGAACCTTCTGAAATTGATAGCAAGAAAATTCAATGGCATCTCTACTTTTTCCCCGAAAGGCTTTGCAAACTCCCAATGCAACCTTTGCTAACCTGGTGCCCTCCAGAGGTTTTGAGCCCATAATCCTCATCAGCTGGCTAGTCCAAAGCATTGGGGGAGGGGGAACCAGGTTGGCAAAAACCTAACAAGAGGAAATGTTTTGATATTGAGATATCTTCATGTTTCCAGAACCCGGCTTTGTTCTTCCTGTCTCTTTCACTTGTGCTGTGATTCTCTTTTTTCTGTGCCACAGGGACCCCCGGGACCTCGAGGGCCACCAGGAAATGTTGGGGGAAAGGGGGAAAAGGTGAGCATTGGCATCTGGGTTGTATAATTTGCAGTGGGAACGGAGAAATGGCATCTAATAGCCTTCATGGCTGTGGTGGGTTCATCTTTAATTTCTTATTCATTACCAGTGAGCTGTTGCATCGAATGAATGATGAAACAGATAAAATATCAGTGAAGTGACATGTACTCCTATTCCAAGGTGAACCTCAGTAGAAAACTGCTTTAATTCTGTGCTGTTCACAGCGCCATTTCGCTGAGGATAGAATTACTGGTTTGCACCCTCCAGCAACTATCCCATATTCCACTGCATTAATATAGGAGCGTGGGAGACACTGCGTTAGCAAAGTATACTTTATATCCCACAATATCTGTGCAAGATATTAGAAAACTCCAGCATAGATTGTGTTGGGCCTTAACCATGTTTTAGAGCAAATTCCGCCATTAACATCAGAATGTCGTCAGCTTGGATGTAATATTGCTCTTTTCCCTATAGGGCTCCGCAGGTCTTAAAGGTGCCATAGGACCCACTGGACCTCCAGGTGCCAGTGTTACTGGCCCACCAGTAAGTGCCATTGCTTTGTAGCTCCAGAAATCTTACAACCAACCAGCGCCTCGTGCTTTCTGACTCTTGCTGTCCTGATATTTTCCTCCAGGGCCGAGAAGGCCAGCAGGGCCTCCCGGGAGTTCCTGGATCCGATGGTTCAAAGGTGGGCAAGCTGTGTGCTTTGAAAGAAGACTTATCTGAAAACTAAAATGATCCTGTTTAATCATCTGGCTGCACCAGGTTCTTAATTACCCGTGAACCAGTCACTTATGACAGTCCCACTGCTGGCAAAAACCTGCACTGGCCTTGAAAGCCTTAAAACAAAAGGAACTTGATAGGCCTGTCAGATGCATCCTGCCATGGCTGCTACCTGGATGGAATCCAATTAGTGAAAGATTCCTCCCTTTCTTAAAAATGCCCAGGTGCCAGATCCACCCTTCCTTTAGAGACAAACTTCTGCTTGTCACTTCCCTAGAAAGCATGGATCTGAGAGGTTTTCCGTTTGTCCCATGTTTCTAGGGACAGGTCTGAGCGGTTTTTCATTTGTCTCACCACTTTCCCCAGGAAAAGCCTATGTTTGCTGCTGAATTGTAACAATCCACAGCAAAAACTGATTGACATTTGCTCTGATTCAGTAGTAAACAGCAGGTTTTCCCAGGGGAAAGCATTGGGACAAGCCGAAATGTGTGGGCGAGCCCTCAGTGCCCTCTTTAATATTGAAGAGGGGCTTGTGCAACTAAGAATTTGCTCATGCTGCTTCTCACCTTCTTGGATGCTCTGTGAAAAATTATCAGAGTGATGCCCCTGAGTGCTGCTGGCCCTTTGCCCGCCTCGAGGCCACAGCACTTGCCTGACCCCACTCTCTTTGGAAGCAGGCTCTGAAACGAAAGTGTTGAAAGCCTGAATTTTGAAGCTTTGGATCCAGCTTTGGCATGACTAATGTGTGGCTGTTTCGTGTAAACACTTCATTTCCACCCCAAAATAAGACTGACTAAAGATGACTGAAGCGGCTGAGGGTCAAAGAGCGAAACATGCAGCACAGAACATGCTTTCTCGTTTGCAAAGCAGAGATGATTGTTCACACCGTGGAGGTTTTGAAATCTGCAGTGCAAATGCTCAGCGCTGCTCTAACGACGAGCGGTGCCTCAAAGGCCAACATATGGCGCTGAAAAATAAATTGGATTTGGGGTGCGTACTCTTCTTTAATAACTCCCAATGTTAGCAAGAGAGATAAAGGGGGTTATTAATTATGCGCGCCTCTTTTGAGGGAAGACCTTCAATTATTCAATAGGAGCCACTGTGCTCAGCCCTCAAAGATCTGTTCCGTGGTCCTTGGTGTTCTCAAGTCATTCCGATTGAATTCAGCATGTCACTCAGCTTGTTTATCAGTGCAGCAATGCTGTTGTCATGTCGGGTGGAAGGTAAGGGTGGGTCGTGCCACAGATGCTGGAGGGGGGGAGAGTATATAGTTCAGTGGTACAGCATCTGCCTTGAATGAAGAAGGTCCAAATTTAAATTCCCCATGGCATATCCAGGTGCTGCCTGACACCCCAGAGAGCCAGTACCAGTCAGTGCAGACAGCATAGAGCAAAATGGACTTCTGACTTTGTATAATAATAATAATAATAATAATAATAATTTATTTATATCCCGCCCTCCCCAGCTGAAGCTGGGCTCAGAGCGGCTAACAACAGTAAAAATAACACAGTTTACATAAAATCACAATCAATTAATTGAAATACATTCTAAAATCAATTCAGAGTCAAATGAATGGTGACCATTGGGCTAGAGTTCTATGAGGATTACAGAATGAGGGGGTCAGACTGTGCCTTGGCCAAAGGCCTGGTGGAACAGCTCTGTCTTGCAAAGATGTCAAGTCCCACAGGGCCCTGGTCTCTTGTAACAGAGCATTCCACCAGATCAGGGCCACGGCCGATAAAGCCCTGGCTCTGGTTGAGGCATCTTCACATATTCCTTCTCCACTCCTACGCCACTGCCTGAGAAAGATTACACAGCAGAGTTGGACCTGAGATACTTCCAGGCTCAAAGCCTGGCACCATTCAAATGCATGTGTACACCCACCTACAGCGCCCTCTTCACCACTGCTTAGCTGTTTCCCAATCAGCTGGGCACTGGTGGGGCAGACTGCTGGGAGCGGAGGTTTAAACCTCCCTTCCCAGTGATTCTCTCTCTGCCCCTCAAGCTGGTTGGAAAATGCTGAGCAGCAAAAAAAAGAGAGAGGAGAATTGCTCTTTTGGGAGTCACAGCTTCAAGGCATGCCAGGCACCTTGAGGTAGTAGTTCCTGGTGGAACTGGCTTCCCTTACTTTTCTTAGTGGGAAAGGTGAGATGCAAGGAAAGACTTTGGGAACTGCTACTTCAAGGTACCCCAGGTGAGGAAAGCCTTTAGGAACCTGCACTCCAGGTATCTTGAGGAGGTGGATCCTGATGGAGCCAGCTTCTCTTACCATTTCAGATGGTCCTAGCAGTGATCACCAAGTGCTTCAGAAGATTCCTAGGAAGAGCTGTAGGGAACACAGAGGAATTTGTTTGTTTGTTTGTTTGTTTTTACTTGAAGCCACTGCCACACAAAAAAGGTAGGTAGCTGGCAGGCCAGTTGAAAATGCTTCAGGAGCTAGTTCTGGCCCAGGGGCCACAGTTTACTCCCTTCTTGTAATGTAAGGTAAGTCCACATGATTTCCGAGCAACAGAGGAGTTTTCTAAAGGTGGGCAAGGGATTAGTTAGCTCAAAGCTCAGAGGTTCCAGACAGTGGGACATCAGAAGGCATGAAAACTGAAGTGAAAGAAGCAGGCCAAAGAGAGCTGATCAAAGGAGCTCGCAGGTGTGCTTCTTTGCACATCTGAGAAGCAAATGGGACCGTGTAATCACTCTGCACATGTGTGTGCATGTGTGCTATTGCCAGCAGCACGCTTTTCCAAATATTTGACTCTTCTTTCTCTTCCTTTCTTTTTCTCTAGGGTGAAAAGGGAGCCAGAGGAGAGAAGGTGAGTCAGCCTCCTTCTCCGTCCCAAATTCTGCAACACTTAAGCTCCTTTTGGTGTCTTTCCACACCATCAGCATCTTATACAACAAACACCTGCTGTTTTGTCATGTGCTGCACACAATTCTCCCAGTTCTTATCTTTCTGGGGATGCAATGCACTGGCTGAGAGAAGCACAGTGCACCTTTGAGTAATCCAGCATAAGGAGGAGCCAGAAACACCCTGCCACTCTGCCACTCCTTGTTCATGTGGACCAGAGGTGTTACTCTTGATTAAGTGCCCCATGACTCTTGATTAAGTGTCCCATTCCAGAGCCTCTAAGAACATAAGAAGAGTCCTGCTGGTTGAAACCAAAGGCTTATCTATTCTTCTCCCACAAGGGCCAAGCAGATGCCTCTGGGAAGCCCACAAGCCATACATGAGCTGGGATAGCTCAGCCAGTAGAGCATGGGATTCTTACTCTCAGGGTTGTGGGTTTGAGCCCTACATTGGGCAAAATATTCCTACATTGCTGGGGGTTGGACTAGATGACTCTTGTGGTCCCTTCCAACTCTACAAATTCTATGATTCCATTAGCACAGTAGCCTTCTCCAATAGGAAAGGATCCCTGTGGCCCCACTCCTTGGTCCCCAGATGTCTCTCCCTCCTTACCCTCCTCACCTTTATCTTCTCAGGGAGATTCTGGTGAGTGCAGCTGCCAGCCCGGCCCTCGTGTGGACTCAAGCAACATTGGTCTTCCGGTAAGCGTCACTACATACTTCTGCTGCCCCCAAGGCCTTGGGGATTCGCTGCCAGGCTGGATGATGGTTCAAGCCACCTGTGCTCCCCCATTCTCCGCTCAACGCCTTTGCTGCTCCGGAGGCTGGAACGCCCATGTCCTGCTTGGCCTTTGCTAAACGCTCTCCCCTTTTGGACCCGCAGGGTGCCCCAGGACTGTGGATCGGGACTTCCTGGCAGCCTCAGCCGGGCCCTCAGGTGTGTGGGTGTGTGTATGTGCATGCTTGCTCCTCTGTGCGTAGCGACGTTGGCTCCTTTCTCCCCATCGCCCACCCCGCTGCTCTCTTAACCTCATCCTCTCTCTTTCTTTGTGGTGTTAACAGGGACCGCCAGGTGTTCCAGGCCCTCCAGGCCCACCAGGAGCTCCTGGGAGGCAGGTAAGTGGTAGGAGAGCCATATACTGCAACATCTAACAGACGAGAACAGGTATGCATTATCAGTGCCAGCTCCTGTATTCTTTGTGGTGGTGGGGAGTGGATAAGGCACAGCATTAGTGGACTCAGTTAACTGGAAGAGGCAGGGCTTCCAAGCCCAGAATTCACTCCCACTCCCCCTGACTTCCTTGGTTGTGCAGTGCACAGGAAGAGCGGCAGCTCTGCTTAGATGGGGACCCAGTCCTGGTGCTGTGTGCTGTGCTAAGCAAATGAGTTGTGTTGTGGCTGTGAGCCAGTGTGCTGCCCTTAGCAGTTCTCATCGCACCCTCATGGAAATGACATGGAATGCTAAAAAGCTTTGGAAAGGTGGAGAAGTCCAGCAAGAGTCCCAATGCCATGACCCTTTTCTTGCTGGGCCATCCCTGTGTTGGTTGATCAAGAGCAGGAGGCAGAAATTGCTCTCCAAAAGCAACACTATACCTGTTTGTTCTATATGTTGCCCTGGCAAAGGGGAGCCCTCGGTACCACTTAGATGGAGAACCAGTTCACAACATTTCCTTTCCTCCCCTTCCTCCCCACAGACATCAGTGTGGGGTGATGAGCCTAGTTCCTCCACCCCAACTAAACATAATGGCAGAGGCTTGTTTTGACTTAAGATGCATTGGTTGGTCACAGAACAGAGAACTGTGGCAACATTCCACATGGAACATGTGCAACTGATGTATTCCCGTCTTATAGACCTTTTCATTCTAAAGGGCATCTAGATCTTAGGCATGCTTCCCCATCCCCTCTGCACAATTGCTGGCTGCAAGATCAAAAGGTGTGCCTTCTAGAGGTGAGGAGAATACCATGCAAGCATTATGAGTCCTGATCTAAGTTGCAGAAAATCACACCCACACATGATACTTCTCCTAAGCCTCCATACCGCCAGCTTTTATCTTTATCTTATCTTTCTTTATTTTATTTATTTTTTTAAAAAAATAATTTTTATTAAGGTTTTAAACAACAAAGAAAGAGAAATAAAAAGAACATACACAATACATATAACAGCAATACACACAAAAAACAACACAAAATTCAACAATTAAAAAACAAAACAAAAAAACATAACAATTAAAAACAATATCTCTTTTCCATTTCCATTTTTAAATTACTTATTTTCTGGACTTCCTCATACCTCCCTCTTTTGTATTCCAATCCAAATTATTTGTCCAGCAGTTTCTTTTCCACTTTTTTTAATCCCAATCTTTAGTTTGGTAAAATATTAAGATATATAACTTCAACTTCTTTAAACCTAATCCTTGGTCTTAATATCATATACCATTAAAATTTTCCCTCTTAATATCAAATTTCCATTTCTTTAGACATCTTTAATCTTACTCTTTAATCTTAGTCTATCATTAACTTTAACCTGTACAGCTGGAAACCACTTATTTTCAGTCCAACATCTTATCTTTCTTTAAGTCTTGTTTCATCTTCTTGGATGCTCACCAGATTTCTATAGGTTCCCCATTTATCTCTGAGATTCATCTTCTTGACTGCCACTGCTTCTGTCGGTGATATCCACAAGGGTGTTTTTCTTTCCAGAATATCTCCGTATCTCCTCCATACATTGTACATACAGGCTTCTTCTTATTACATGATTGAAGAATGCCTTATGTGTTTTTGCTTTGCCATGGGGGAGAAATTTGATTCAGTTCACATTTAAAAGTGGCTCTATCAAATTTGCACTTTCCAAAACAATATGAGAACCAAAACAGCATGCAAAAGTGTGTTTATTAGGAGAAATTTGAAATGAAATGCTAAAAAAAATTCATTAGCATTTTTCAAAGGAAATTGCTACAGAAATGTGGAGAACTGAATTTAAAGGCTCATCCAGACTTTTGCTTGTCCCACTGCTCCCCCCCCCCCAGAAAGTCTACTCTCTAGCACTGAATCAGAGCAAACATCAATCCGGTTTTTCATGAATTGACATTTGCTCTGAATGAGTGCCAAAGAGCAGGTTTTCCCTGGGAAAGGAGTGGAAGAAGTGGAAAACTGCTCGCACCCATGCTTTCTAGGTATGGGATTGTGGAAGTGGGGATGAGCCCTAAGACTGGAAAAACCAGGAACTAAGAGAACTGAAATTGACAGATTTTTCACTCATAGTGGATGAAGAGCCATGCTGGGGATTTAGGGGAGCTCAAAGGGAAGAAACAGGGTTCATCACATCACTAGATCTCTCAGGTCAGAGAGAGGAATAGGGAAGTCCTGACTTGATGGCAACAGTCACCAGCAGACTGTCAATGACTGGTTGTTACCCTGATGAAGAAGGTGCATAGGAGGCTGCCAACCAATGGAGAGGCCAGTCTAGGAGCCAGTCAAGGCTTGAGGAATAAGTAAAGGAGTTGGAAAGACACAGAGAGGGGTGTTCTGCTGCTTGCTGGAAGGTGTGGAAGGCAAGTATCGTAGGTCCCAAGTTCTGGTGCTTTTGAGGTGCCAACATCTTGCAGCAGAAGCCCTTTGAGATAGCAAAGATCACTTCAGGAGGCAACAGTTGGGAAGCACTCAAAATATTCAAAGTTTCTCCTTGCCTTTAGGGCATCCCAGGACACAATGGCTTGCCGGGACTGCCTGGGCCGGTGGGAGACTTGGTAGGTACAGGACTGCAGTGTCCGCCTTTTCCTGCCCTCGCTCAGGCCTGTGCTTAGTGCTGCCCCCTTTTGCTCAGCTCTTCCCCAAGCCTCCTCCATCACCCCACCAAGGAGAAGTGCAGAAGAGGTGCAAACTAGAAGCTATGTTTTTATCAAAAGCAGCAACCAGGAGGCTGCTGGAGGGAATCTGTTAGGTGTTTATGCTGCTTTTGGCACAATTCCCTAGAAGCTCATGGCTCCGATAAAAAAGAAAAGGAAGATAGCTCTGTTTTATCGATGCAATTTTTTCCCCTCTCCTCCTTTCCATCTCCCCATTGCAGGGACCACTGGCTGCTGAGAGCATGGCTGTCCTCAAGGTAAGGCAAAAAGGATCTCTGGCTGGCTTTTGCTCTGGTGTGAGCGACAGAATGTGAGACGGCAGCAAAAGCTGTCCTCTCAAGAAACGGTTAGAAAGTCACCTGCCCAAGGTGTTTCTGTGTTTGGATGGAGGGCAGGACTGCAGCAGTGATTCAGTAAGCCATGGTCTGTGGGGCATTCTTCAGGTGATCCTAGAGACTGTGATAAAATAATTTTTGATATTTTAATTATTTATTGTATTTGTTTATGTTTTTTATTTTATGTCTTTATTTTATTTTATTTTGAGTGCCACCCTGGGCAACTTTCCAAGGAAGGGTGGCATAATAACAATAACAACAGCAGCAGCGGCAATGACAACAACAATAATAATGGAAAATACCAGAATCACTTGCCACAGCAAATGGTGACAAACTCCAACAGAATTGTGCTGAGTGCACAGAGCAACAGGGAAAACGAGGCAATTATTAGGAAGGCGTTGCCACATTTGCAGATGCTCCATCTTACTGAGATGCTAGTCAGTGAAAGTGCTTCTGCAACAAACCCCAGTGCAGAAATGACACAGACTGTCCTGCCAGTATCCTTCTCACCAGAGCTGGCAGGATTCCTCCACTCCTCGTTACTTGTGCATCATTCACAATTCAAATAGTACATCATTTAATACAAATGTTGACAATTAATGTTGGAAAGGCAGCAGGCAGTGCTGTAATATTCTGCTTCTCACCCTCTTTTTCTTCTTCCCTTGCCAGAACATTTGTGGAGACTGTGCTAACATACAAGCTTCCCAAGTCCCCGGCGCAACCAAAGGCGAAAAGGGTGACCAAGGCATGCCGGGAGCCCCTGGCATAGATAATTGTGCACGGGTGAGTAGCCAGTCAGGCTTTGGTCACATCCAGATTCCTGTAGCTAGGCTTGAAGAGCACTGTAAATCAAACTGTGAAATCAGTGACCTTGCAATAGCACTAGTCTATAACAGCCCATTCTGCCAAAATGATGTGACACATTTGTGCATCTTAGTAAGTGATGGGAAATGCTAAAAACTCAGGACACATGAACATTTGAGAGCCAGATTTTTTTAAAAATCATTATGTTTATTGATTATAAAACAATTCTGAATGCATGAAACACACATATATCCAATACAAACATTTCATCTCAGAATGTAATATACAAATGTGTAATATGGTTCACCGTCAAAATAATTCTCCCAAATCTTTCACAACAAATCATTACAAGATCTGTCCATCCAGAGTTTCCACTTCTGTTATTTTTCCCTCAATAATTATATTGATCACTGCCCAGACTTTATTTTTCCATTATCTAACCACTAGAGTTTCTTCCTTTTTTCTGTCTACTG